TTCTGCTTTTTTTCAGCTGGTCAAACGAAGACACTTGCAACGTATTTGAATTCACGTATATTCCAACAGAAGGACGCAAAGGATATGCTGCAACAAAAGACGGTAAGTTTGTGCATTGTAACATTATGCATTGTAGCCTTTCTCGTGTTTCGAGAGTCTCTGGAATGGTCCCCAATGTCCCTTGTGCTTGTGGGACCATTCCCACAACCCTATCGTGCTAAATAGATTGATGTAACTCCTCGGGAATTATCGCTAAATTGCATTCAGTTTAAGTAGCTTCAAGCGGCACCCCTCCCCCTCCTCGTTACTTAAAAACGTGGGTAAAGTTGGGAAAACTTTGTGGTCCACGATGTTGTTCATGCTGCTTTGCAAGTGGTGCGTGCTAGACAACTAAGCTGATAACACTGTCTGCACCCTAGCGGGAATAAGCGCTTAGATCTGAAACTGTTGATGTCGTGTATGTTAAAGGTGATGTATTTTGTGACCACTGGTGCTCATTTTTATAGCATTCTTTTGCACAACATTGTAGTGATAAGGTATCGGTAGTTTGGAGTACGTTATTCAGGGTATAATATTAAGAAAATCTCATTTTTGAATGCGTTCTAATTTATAACTAACACGTTTGGTGAGTACTGAAGTGAGGATCAACAGGATTAGCGGTCTTCCTTTCATGTAGGTCCGCCATATTTAGGTCGCGGCCTTACTAGACCTCGGCTCTTCTCGATGTGAATGCTCCATTAGGAGTTCAAACAAGTCTGGGGCCATAACGAGCTTAGAGCGCATTTCGAACAGCAGACTAACAGATCCGCTGATCAAATATGGCGGCCCACTAATAAACTTGCCGCTTAATTCCCGATTAGACACGGAAAAGATTCCCCGCAGGGATTATGCAACAAGCATTCAAGTGGGTCGACCATATTTGATCCGCGGATCTGTTAGTCCGCTGTTCTGAATGCGCTCTAAGACGTATTTAAATTGCCATCATTATATAATTTATTAACATTTCCTTTGATACTTCCCCCTTGCAATGCTCTCTTGTAAAAAGTGAAAACTTCATCTGAATATATTTATTCGAATTTTCATTTAATTTTAATTAACATTAATATTGTACATTTCACTGTCACAAATGGAGGCCAGGCTCCGTTAATACTCTCTAGTAATATGGTCCTCCTTCCCTTCTTAAAGTAAAGCACAGCGTTCACTTTAGAAAATCTTCAATTAAATTTGTTAATACCTCTTCTCTTCTCAAGAATCATCTTTTTTTTGGATTTTTAATGATCTTTTTTAGATATTTTGCCTCTACTGGTAGTTATTAAATGTATTCCTGTCCTTTCAGATGGTACCATTATGTTTTACACTAATATTGTGGATACCGATTATCATTTCATCTTGACCCGTCATTACTACCAAGAACTCGGGGAAAGCACATACCACCTTTTAAGCCGGTTCTTGTGCTTCAACCCCAGAGATGTGACTAGAATGATAAACCGTATTTCCCTGGACCCATGCCTGAGAGGAAAGAGGTTCATGGAAATGGAACATACTGGGGGTATGTAAATTATATAAATATGATTTGTTGTGTTAGCTTTGACCAGGTGTGCTATGACGATTGTGTTAGTTGAGTTTAGTAGCATTATCTACATGTAGAAATCAAATGAAGAGAATGCCGTTTCCTTTTATAATAATCATTTGATATTAAATAATCGTATAAATACATCAACAGATAATAAAATTATATTTATAAAAGCTTGTTCATGGTCCTAGTGATAACATTAAAGGGATAATAACTCTTCGTATGATATCTTTATTTCACAATAAAAACATTGTGAACAACTCATAGAAATATAATATATTCTGTTTTACCACAAAAACAGCAGTTATAGCTATTATTCTGATATCTGAACTTGTCTTCAGATCACGTGACTTTCATTGATGGCTGTACTCTGTTATAATCTCTTAAGAGATTTTAACAAAAAACCAAACTTTTTAGAAAAAAACCAGGGACTAACTTTAAATGTAAAAATGGATTCATTAACCATTGGTAAGTATGGGAAAATTGTTGTTTACTCCAGGGAAATTCATTTTTTTTTGGCCAAAACAAAGAGTTATTATCCCTTTAACTAGCGTTTTATTTATGATAATCACTTACTTAAGAGAAACCCTGAATAAAGAAACAGTTTCGCTACGTTTCACTCGTCATGAGGGCATCTTCAGGCTGAATGGCCACAGGTCATAAGGCACCTTGAAGAGAGACAAGGTACCTGTAAAGAATCTGCTTTTCCCCCCATCTAAATCCACACCATTCTCCCAATAACTACCCCGAGCGAGAATCATTCAAAGGTCTTCCATCAGTAAACGGCCTGTTGGCATTTAGTTCTTGTGACAAAGTGTCTGTTTCATTAATTATTTTTTTCCGAAGTAAGTAATTGCTATCATTAAAACGCTAGTAAATTGTAATCCTTGGAGTCATGAATATTTTTGCATATATATGACTTAATCAATCAGGAATTACTTCTGTTTCGAAGTAAATGATTATTATCACTTAAAGATATTTTCTTGTAGTTTCTTTTCAAACCGTTGTACCTTGTCTTCCAGTTTGTGGAATGCCGCCTGCTGCCAGTTGGTCCGAGATTCTCGCGTAGAATTGAGAAAAAACGTTACCTTTTTATGTTAATGTATCAGATATTCAGATATATAAGGTCTGAAACTACATGGTCCATGATCTGTTCTCCCTTTGTGTCTCTCTCAATTAACCTCCCAACTGATTGTTAACGACTGCCTGTATTACTGATGTGCTTGTGTAAACCAAGGAAACCATTTGAGAATAAAGGATATGGGGTGTTAGAGAAATCAAAATGAATTCCATACGGCGTTTAAATACAAAAAGGCCACTACAACAGTTGATTCACAAGCAAACAATATAGCTTTACGATAATACTGCCTGCCCCTTAGTGTAATAGTGTCATTCATTTAATGCTGTCGGCTTTACGTTCAAATAAGTACACTTCAGTAAAAGAGGAAATCAATCTACTAAGGGACCATTCAGAATGAGAGGAGCCGAGTGCTAGCTGGTCCACGGCCTAAATATGGCGGACCTACATAAAAGGAAGACTGCGTAATCCTGTAATGGTCTCTTCGCCTCTCACATTCCTCCACACGCGTCGTCCCTCGGCCGGTCGCATTGAGACGAGATTTAATTACTGTGCCGATGCAGGGAAAGTTCATAAACTTGTATCACCCAGACAGCTACAGTACTAATGACTCCCGCAAATTAATTGCACCTTAGCTATTACTGAAAATGTTGGCACCCTGCCCCTTCTGTTTAACCTTAACCTGTCTCATAGACCCCATTTCCAGAGATTAGATCGATCTAATTTAGATCGACCTAACTCCCTGGGGGTTCACGCTAAATAGCTGTCAGCCGGGCGGACACGAAAGTTAATTACCCTTTTACAGCTTGTAGTAGGCGGGACGGACATTTAAGCCGGATTATCTGACAGTAATCTAGTGAGACTCCCCGCGGGGATAGATCGATCTAAAAGCTCTGGGAATACAGCCATAGCGTTCTAGGACTGAATATTATATATCGTCGTCTGGGTTTTCACACTCTGGGCTACGTGACATTTTGTTTTTGTATGTGCACCGTTTCTTCTCAGTCAGGAACAGGTCACTGTGCACACCAAGATCACCTACGGTAGCTGTAGACTAAGGTGTAATAGGGTGGGGGGAGATACTGCATTGATTGCGGTTGTTGAGACGTGATTGCATTTTTTTGCGACATCCCTAGTTTCTGTACTATAGCTTTCGATTGTAAACCAAACCTAGAACATATACATATGTAACGCATGCATGTACCCATTAATGCATCCATTTGAAGGTTTGTCGGTCTAAATCCACCCACAATACTACTACCGTTAAGTGAATGCATGATTGTTAAATCTCACAGTACAAATAACTCAAACAATTCAAATATCAAAATGTGCTTTCTAAATCCACAATACAACTTTTAGTCCATGAGCCAAATTGAAAAAAGGCCTTATTTAAGGATTTGGCTGCACCCCCGTCAGGCAAAGGTTTTATGATTGATTCTTGTAGTTTAGAACCTGAATTTTTCATTTCTGCTTGTTTCCGGCTTGAAAAAGTGTCCGTTTGTACCGGAAACAGGCCAAATCCAAGATGGCCGCCAGTAGCCATTTAGCCGTGGATTCAGTGCGGGTCGCTGTTAAATATCTATCTTCAATATATTTTATACACTCCTTCTACCAGGTNTAAAACTTGCTTGCTATTACAATCTTTATTGTGCATAAAATGATTGCCTAACGATTTTTTTCTGACAACCCCAGACGTTGTACGAATACTCAGCAGTTCAAGTGTGATCTCGAGTCTTTACCGCGGGGTTTCTCCATCCACCAGAAGCACTCTCTTTCAAAATTCTCTTGCTTTCCTCGCTCATCCGTTTTCTCACGACTTTCTTTCTTCCCATGACTGTGTATATAACTGTGTTCTGCTTAGCTGACGTAAGACTTATGAGCTGCCAGGGCACGCGTAACAGCTTAAGAAGTTAGACAACCATTCTTGCCCCGCCCCCCATAGTAACGGTGCTTGACAACGGAGGCGGAGCCTAAAGCCTGCCACCCGTACCAGTCAGGACAGGTAGAAAAACTCGTCCAAATGTATATTTTTAGTCCGTGTTTCACAAATATAACTTAATTGAGTATTAGATACAAAATTGATTATTTCTAACGTATAAAAAACTAAAAATCGAGTTTTAGACATATTTTTAATATCCTAGACCCCTTAAAAGCTTTTTTAGAATTTGCAAAAAAAAAAAAAATCAATAGAGCCTAAAAACCCACCAAAAATAAATCAACAACAACAATTATTATTATTATTATTATTATTATTATTATTATTATTATAGTTGGAATAAAAGTGAGGTTGGAGAGATTTTTCATGATGTGCACTGTTAAGGGGGATATGCAAAATCCTATGTCAAAAGGCGTTTCATTGTCCAGAGCATCATGGCAGTATAATTTGCATTGACACAGACATCTTTGTAATCACCATCGAACTCAACGACGTTATCATAGGAAAATTAATTTTTTGGTCACAATGAACAGTTGTTATCCTTTTAAGGTGAACGAGGTGTTTGTACAGGCCGTCTTGAAAAGGTATTTGTACGTGCACTGGTGCGAGAAGTTCTCCGGTCAGTGTTCGGTGACAGTTTACAGCCCGAGGCATCGGCGTGTCCGGAGTATGCTGCACGAGACACACCAATATCATTTCGCCTGTTTCGTGTTGAACCCCGAGGTCGAACAGTCTGCTTCAAAGAAAAAGGCAAAATGGATTCCAGCACTCGCTTTCCTTTTTGCACTACAACAATGTTGTGTTTGCTAGTGTTGACAGTTGACGCCCAGACCCAAGTCACCGTCAACAATGGAGTTCTAGAGGGTGTGAGAAGGACCGTCGAGGGATTAACTTGGGATGTCTTCTACGGGATTCCCTACGCTAAGCCTCCTGTGGGGAACCTGAGGTTTGCAAAGCCGGAGCCGGCGGAAAACTGGACGGGAGTTCGCAATGCCTCGTGGTTTGGCAGTGGGTGTGTCCAAGAGAAAAGTCCCTATGTCAAGTTAATTGTTCCGGTGAGTAGTTATCATGAAATTGTAACAATGTGAATGACACACGTAGAAATTTGAGAAATGTCCAAGGATTCCTGCAACCAACAGATTAAATATGAAAGGACCTTTTAACACACCGGCTTTCTTACTCTCTGTAATACAACACGAATGACATACATGTACATGTGTATCTATGTATCTCTATGTACAGCGACACGTAGCCTACGCAATGCCACATTTTTTCCGAATTTAGAGCACATCAAGGCACAGGATAGAAAGACCATACTAGACGCAGGGGTAAATGAGATTTCTTTCGCATATTCACTCGTATCAGAGGAGTGGAGATCACTACCAGTGGCAACGATGCACGGATAGTAGAGTTATGAGTTCTTACTAAATTGAGAAATATATCACAAAATGTGGCGGAGAGTGCTGGAGTACATGTATCACAATTACTAAATGCAAGATGGAAGGCGTGAAAAACACGCTGCGTTATTTCGTCAAATTACTCATTTTACAAGTCGACATTGTCGCTTTTAAGTCCATTCATTGAGGTAAAATCTTTACATAGTTTAAGAGAAATTATCTTTGATTTTATTTTACTTGCCTTGGTGATTAGAGAATCGAAGACGACTCGGTAGTCACAGATCGTGACGTATGGGCACAAGTCGGGATATGTGTTGGTCTTAATGTTGAAAAGTTTGACGTTTTCTGGTTTGGTTGTGTGTGCATTACTTTCCAACGAACTTAAACCACTTTGCCGTACAACCGCCCCACAACCGGTAGTCACTAGTATGTTGTAATATCTATTGCTTTTAATATCTATTCTTTATTTTTCATTTTATTTCAGTTATCCGAAGACTGTTTAACATTGAATGTGTATTTGCCAGGGATGCTAGACAACAGCACAAAAAAGGCAGTGATGTACTTTATTCACGGTGGCAGCTATTATTACGGTGGTTCTTTTTCATACACTTTCGATGAGCTGGGTTAGTAGCATATGGTATTTCATTTAATAAAATAGACTTTTTATTTTTGCCCCCCCCCCTTTCTCTCTCTCTTTCTCTGCAGTACTATCTTTGAGCCTTACTGCATGTATGCATATTCGCAGATCATAGGTAACAAAACGCCACAAGTACGATGTAACTGAATTCAAGATTTTATTAATGGCTGAAATATTACAAATGCATCAAACAACAAAGAATAATGATCTGCAGCAAACAAGACAAGAAATTTATAGCGCTATTTAAAATGAACATTCTAGCCATTTTCTGAGACGTTAGATATCGCACAGGCTTCGTGACAAGTTGCAAAAAGGGCTAACAACTGTTCATTTTGGCAAAAAAAAAGGATTTTCCTGGAGTAAACGACAATTTTTTCAAACTCACCATATAAATCTGCACGTTCCGACATTCAAAGCCAGTCCCTGTTTTTTACTTAAACTTTTGGGTTTTTTAAATAATCTCTACGTACTAATAAAAAAGCGCGAGTGGAGATCTTTCACAAAACTACATGAATCACGTCGGTTGAATTATTTTTTTCATTGCATCTTATGTTCTGATGCTAAAGTCCCATGAGGTGGTNTTCACATGGATTCACAAGACACGTAAAAACTAAAAAAGAAGAAGAGAAAAAGAAAATTACAACAATGTACTTACTAAGGGTTATTTACGTGTTCAAATTTACTTACTCAAAAAACTTATACATTTCAATAATCACCAATAATAAATAACTAATCATCAATAATCAATAATAATCAATAAACAGTATTAAAACTCACCATTTCTGCCATTCCTTTAAACTATAAATTTCAAGTAGAAATAACAGATTCAAAAGTAAGAGTACTATGTGTTCCTCCTACGGAGACACTATGATGAATGAAATAAAGTGCAAAACTCATGGGGCACCACCCTGAATGAAAACTTGTCATTTATGCAAATAAGTGCATTAGATGAGCCGGACACCAGGCTCCTCAATCACAACAAAAGTAAACTAAACCTTACAAGCGGACTGCCATCGTGTGTGACATGGACCATAAACGTTCTGTTTCAATAAAATTCCTCGGCCCATTGGTTGCAAATCCTTTGAGGGCAAAATTGTTATCTGTGACTAAACAGGAATATGACATCACAGTACATTGAGTATCACGCATAATAGAAGCATTAATTTTGCCGATTATACTAAAAATGACTGAAAAAAATAGAATCTGTTATTTTTGGGAAAGAAGAACATGGCGGACCTTCTGGATTCATAAAACGACGATGCTTACAGTAAAATAACGTACTGTATTGATGTTTGGAATGATTTTGTTTGTAAATTCACACTGTTGCAACGCATGTTTATTCTGGGATGTCAGAAAGGCGTTTGTTATAAATTTTACGAAAGGGAAATAGTTATATTTACTTATACCTTTTTTCATTTATCTATATACCATTAATTAAATTACCATTATAATTTTTTCATGTATTAATATATTGTTGCGTTCTCAATCTGAATATTTATAATTGTTGTCGGTGTGTAAATTAAGTCTGCCCGTAAGTAAAGGCATTGGGTGCGGACCCGTATATGGTTACTTGAACGAAAAGCTGCAGTTCCGTTCAATTGCGCGGTATTATTATCCTGGCGCAGATTTCTGTCCGAGCATAGATTTTTGCAAATGACTTCCCCGGCGCGGATTGCCTGCTGCCACCACCGCCAGTGAGGAAGGAGTACCGCCGTGGCGTAGTTAAAGGAGAGGTAAATCAGCATTTGGAGGATTGGAGTTAGTGAGATTATTTAAAGAACAGACAACAATGAGTATTGATGTGTTTGTTGAAAGTCGTGATGCTTTTGAAACGCGACTACTATAAATTTCCCATTCTGATTTGATTTTTTTCAGTTCGTGCAGAAAAGTGTAAGACCGTGGAGAATGTTGTGGGATCTTTTGCTAGACTTTCCCCTTTTTAAAATGGTCGGTTGTGATTTCAACAAATTATTCAAATCTATTTCAAGGGACACCCTTGCGGTTTTTTGTCATGAATTTGACTTCCCAATCCGGTCATATATGTAGGACAAAATATGGACTTATGACCCACGATGTAAATAAGTTACTTGTGGGGCCTCTAAACCGACTCAGAAAGATCTAGGTTCCCGATTACCGAGTTGAGTCATTCCCCGAGAGAAAAGTAACAAAACACAGCAGCTTTGTTTCCAAAAACAAGCTCGTTAATTTCCAGGAATTTTTTTTTTTTTTTTTTTTTTCTCTTATCTGCGTGACACAGTTTGCAAGATCGGAGTTTGATTTAAGGCCAATTAAAGATTATAGAATTATCGGCGTGACACAGTTTGAGAGATTGGAGTTTGATTTAAGGATATTTAAAGATGCGATAATTATGACAGATTTGTATGAGCAAACGGCATCGCATCTAAGAACACCTTCATTAAGCTTCTTTAGAAGAATGTTAAAAAGTTAATTGTCATGTGTGAGGAGAGGTGGTTTAGGAAGAGGTAGGATCCCAAGGCGGTGATACACTGTACAACTTCGGCCATGGTGATGTATTGCGGTATATTTGACTTGACTCACACAAGTGACATAACACATTTTTGTTTGTTGAGGTTTGTCGTATGTAATATGCATCAAGAAAACACGCATCTCCCATTCATTTGGTAGGGTAGGTAATCACACAGTCGTTTATTTGACAATACAAATCATTTAAGATCATTTAATACTTTGTGAAGCGAAAAGTGCACCGATAACGCGTCGTCTTGTTGCTGCCACGTGACAGAACCATACTGTTAGGATTTGAAACGAGGCTCACGAGTGGCAATTGATCCTCCCCTATTAAGCATTCATCGACGAATTGAGATCGGATAAGACTGACGTGTTTAATTTACCTCAGGGTAACCTGTTCGTCATTTTGTGATCTAGGTCGTTAGGAAAGCCACACCTACCACACAGAGACGTGAATTTCGTCAAGATCCCACATGAGAGGTAAGGGGAGTTACAATTTCATTTCAAATACATAAAGGTTATATTTGAACTTCCCATTCGCATATGAAATCTATCTGCACTGTTGCAATTGCGTAATATGTGTAACAAACACATGTGCTAATTATTAAAGAAATCAGGGGCGCCATTTCAACGGCTTAGTAGATTTCGTGTGACTCTTTTAGAATCCATCTGATTTTAGGTAAAAACATTTCTCATTTTCAACTGCACGTATTTAATCAACAAGAGACATACTTCAATCTGTACTGATATTGAACGTTTTATTGACTGAAATGTCTTAAGAATAAAATAAAAAGAAAACATTGATTTCTTTTGTCGAAGGTAACGATTGCTGATTATTTCTTACGCTGTATTGAACTCAGGGTATTCAAAAATAAAAATGCTCACCTGTAATCAATTTTTCCACCTTACCCAACCCTAGCTCTTTCTATGGCATGTTGCATGTAGACCTAAATTTGTTTGTCAACAACTATAGCAACTCAACGATTGGGCCGTAATAGAATATCGACCGGGCAACATTTTTTGAAAAATGAGATCAGCCGTCCTCATACAAGTAGTTTTTACTCCCTTAGCAAGACTTATATTTGTCTGCATGTGCCTACTGTCAAGTCAATGTAAATGTATGAGCACAGCCAAGTAGAACAACTATTTCTTATATGTTCTTTTCAAAAAAGTATTTGTGTTGCGTAGAAGAGGTACTACTTTTTAATAACAATCGATATAAAGGGTGCTTGTTTAAAAAAACATTACCGTATACAAATATAAGACGAAAAGGTTTGTATGAAGTGTTTTATTTACAAGTTAGTGGACATAATCTGTGATGGTTCTTTCAACTTAAGATACACCAGGGTGTTTTGATTGACAGAATAGCAGCAAAGTTCGAAAACGGCAATAAGCGAAACCTTGCAGGGTATTTATCCCTGTCCCCTCAATATCTTATATTACGTAATATTTTTTTACTTTTTTTTCCTTTTAAATTCCATCCTGTTTCAGGTAAAAGTATACTTCACATTTTCAACTTCACGTATTCAACCAACAAGATACATACTTTAATCAAGACTGACATTGAACGTTTTATTGACTGAAATTTCTTAAGGAAAAAATGAAATGAAAAAATTGATTTCTTTCCCAGGCCGATTGTCGAAGGCAACAATTGGTGATTATTTCTTTCGCTGAATTAAACCTAGGGTATTCAAAAAGAAAAAATTCTCACCTGTAAACTATATTTGTACCTTACTCAACCCTAGCACTTTTTATGGCTATGTTGCATGTAGACCTATACTTGTTTGTCAACAACTATAGCAACTCAACGATTGGGCCGTAATAGAATATCGGGCAATATTTTTTTAAAAAGAAAATGAGATTAGCCGTCCTCATGCAAGTAGTTTTTAGTCCCTTATCAAGACTTATATTTGTCTGCATGTGTCTACTGTCAAGTCAAGGTAAATTTATGAGCACAACCAAGTAAAACAACTTCTTATATGTTCTTTTCAAAAAATGTATTTGTGTTGCGTAGAAGAGGTACTACTTTTTAAATATCATTCGATATAAAAGGTGCTTGTTTAAAAAACATTACCGTATACAAATATAAGACGAAAAGGTTTGTATGAAGTGTTTTATTTACAAGTTAGTGGACATAATCTTTGATGGTTCTTTGAACTTTAGATACACCAGGGTGTTTTGATTGACAGAATGGCAGCAAAGTTCGAAAATCCGCAAAGATTATATATTTTATACATTTTCTCAGGCTTGTTGTACAAAAGCATACGTTTTTTGTCTTACTTCGAATCAAGTGGGAAAATTAGTCTATTAGTCAAAATTTGATTGAAAATTTGAATGATTTAATGCATTTACTCTTACAAAAGTAATTACATATTTAATTGCATTTAAAACGCTGCATTGTTTGTCTCAGTGAAATGCATTAACATCTAACCCAGGGTGATCATGAGATCTTGCCTTTATAAAAAATGTTGTTGTAGGCAGCCACAGTGGTAAAAGGTTCACAA